AAGCATTGGTGGGCAGTAAGGAAATTTTACCACCAAGAAAGATGCATTAGTGAGTGGTAAGTATAAAAAAGTTGACTACCCCGGTCTACAGTCTATACTAACAGGATGGCAGGAGTTCTCCAGGGTTTCAGAAAGGGTAGGAGTCCTTCACAGTCCACTGTGGAGATGCCAGGGATTGAACCTGGGAATTTTTGCATGCAAAACATCTGCTCTGCCACCAAGCTAAAGTCCCTTACCAAAGCCCTTCATCAATGGAAGGTATCCAGATCCCACACAGGCATGCTTTCACCAAGCAAAAAAATGATTGACTAGTAAGACACTACCAGTGCACACAAAGAATTTGTGCAAAGTTCCTTCTAAATCAATCTAATCATGACACAGAATTGATGAACTAAACTAAAGGGCACTCCTCCTAGGTATTTTAGCCACAGGTGCTACTTCAACTTCTTAGTTACATTAACAGTAGTCAATGCTGAATAAGAAATGTCATTCAGAAGTGCGAAACTCTGTTTTCTCATTAGTCTCTCTTCCTTCTTTTTCTTCTGCATTAAGTATATTTCAAACATCTCCAGGAAATCCACTCACACCAGCACAATTATCACTTTCTTAACAACTATTCACTGCTTGTATTGAAGAAGCTAGAAACTTGTGGGGGGAAATTATGGGCTATTTTTAAAAATCTATTCAAATAATAATAAAAAACCAACTATCTAACAAATCTACTAAGTAGAGGCTTTCCCAAATTATAATATTCACTCTGAATCTGTGTTCAATGAGCTAATCTAATTTAAAAATTAAAGGGATGAATTTTTCCATGCTTCAGCTTTTCTCTTCCTAAATTTGCTATGCAGAAATTCTCAGTTTTTTCCATTTCATTTCATTTGCTTGTTTTCATCCTGCCTTTGTGTCACAAAGCATTAAAAGCAGCAAGACAATTACAACAAACAGTATCATCATGAAAATGGAACAGTTTGAAAAAGCTAATAAAGTCAAATATAAAACAGTAGGTTAAAAGAAACACACAGAAACATCTACAATAAAAATCTAAATCCTAAAAGACATACAGGACCAGGCAGATCTCATAAGATATTGTATTCTTTTATTTATTTCCTTTTTTAGTTTGTGGTTTAATTATATTTTTGAGTTTCATGTTGTGTCGGGGGTTTGTTTTATAAGCTGCTGTGGGGTGTTTAGCCTGAAAAGTGGGATATAAATATATGAAATAAGACAATTCCCATAAATAACCTTGGCACCAAAACTGAGGAGGTCATGTCATGAGTATCATCATTCTGATCTACAGTAGTGGGACCATGAGCAAAGTCTTCCTTTTCAGCTCTTCCCAGGAACACGAACTACCTGTGCCTTTCCCTTCTCGCTTTTCATGTTCCTCATTCCTACCACTAGTTTGAAGTCTACCAATACGGCACACTCCAAGACATTAAGAATCTTGACCTGTTAGACTGGTCCTGTGTTCCGAAATCACTTTCAAGGGTTGGATGCAACTGTTTGACTGGGCTCAGGACACATGGTGTTCCAGTTAATTCAACAGTTAATTTACTGTGCCTGAATACAAGACATCTGCCTTCTTTCCAGCTGGGAAAGAAACAAGAGACAGAGAGAAGGGGATAAGAGTTAGCCTTTTGAAGTGCTCTCCTGATCCTAAGCAGGCCTGCACAGATCTGACTAAGGATTTTAATGTCAAATACCTTCATCTCACTTTAGCCAATAGCATTACTGCGATTTGACTCTAGCACCTTATTTGTCAGCCTCTCTACTCCGATCGTAATACCCTTCCTTATAGGCACTACATGCCTCATTGACTTAACCCCTGCTAGTTTCTGTGGCCTTCCTGAGATCATTGAGTTTAGCCCAGTTAATAACCTTCAGCTTCTTTAAACACTTCAGACTTGTCGCTTTCTAATCAGCTCCTCTCTAAACTAAGTCATCACAGCCACAATCTCTCCCCTGCATCTAAACTGTACTAATCCAGTTTCATTGTCAGGACTAATCCAGTTTCCGTTGTTGGGGCAGAATGGAAAAGTGAGCCTGGTGGGGGGGCCGGTAAAACTCCTTTCAAGAGTTACAGCTCCTACTATGGATGTAGAGACCAATATGAGATAGACATCTTTTACTGCAGGTGGGGCAGATGAAGGTGTTTGGTTTTGCTGCTGCAGGTGCGCCATGGCGTTTCTTCTCTCTGTGCTCCTCCCAGCAGTCCTTCCTCCTCTGATCACTGCTGTGGATACACACCCTGACTGCTGTCTCCAGGCACTGAGATTGTCTGCAAGGGATTCACTTACAGCAGGGTTAACGTGGCCAGCCTTTATGTCACGTTTGCAGACATCTTTGTAACACAGAGCTGGACTGCCAACAGGCCTAATGCTTGAAGCCAGCGCTCTGTGGAGCATGTCCATGGGAATCCTGCCATCTTCCAATCTGTGGACATGACCAAGCCAGCATAGATGTCGCTGAGACGGAAATATGAAAACATGCTGGGAATGTGGGCTTGGTAGAGCACATCTGTGTTTGAGACTCTGTCCTGCCATGTGATACCCAAAATCTTCCTGAAGGCAGTGTGCACGTTGCCCACGACTCACTTTCATAAAGCAGTGTGCTCAACATGCAAGCCTGGTAGACCTTCATCTTGGTATTGGTCATTAGCATCAGATTCTCCCATACCCTTTTGGAAAGGCGAGCCATTGCCATAGCTGCCTTGCCACTATGTTTGTCCTGCTCAGCGTCAATGGAAATGTTGTTGGTTATGGGGGGAACCCAGGTAGACACCGTCTTCAGTGAAGCTGAAGGCATAGAAAAGCAATAGGGAGAAGACTATGCCAAAGAGAGTTGATGCGAAAACACCACCCTGTTTCACACCGCTCTTTATAGGGAAGGCATCCGAGGATGAATCGTCATACTGGACAGTGCCATGCATGTTCTCATGAAAGGACACAATCATCTTGCGGAACTTAGGTGGGAATCTTATCTTGTTGAGCAGTGTGAAAAGTCCTTTTCAGCTGATGAGGTCAAAGTCCTTCATCAAGTCAATGAAGTAGATGTACAAGGGATGTCTCTGCTGATTTAGCAATTTAGTGAACCGACCTCAACTTTACCTCCTATTTATCTTGAAGCCAATGTCCTCAAAGAATGAAGCTAACCTTCCTGAGGCCACACCAGAAGTAATTATGAGAGGCACAAGCAGACACTGCCTCTCCCAACCCTGTTGTGCCTGCATAAAATGACTCTGTCTTGACTGAGCTCAGAAATAGAACATCAGCCCTGCAAAGCCAGGACCATATGGGCACCTTGGTTGTCTGTTTGCCTTTAAGGCTATCAACCAGCTAGAGCCTCACCAGGTTCAGTACTGTCATTGATAAGCTTTCAAAAACCAAAACCAAAGGACTTCAAATTAATACTCTACAGATGCCCAGAAGCACTCTGCCGTTACCTATCTTCCTATCAGAACAGAAAGGTACTCTGCACATATGGAGAGAAAAGTGCACTTATGTATGTATGTCATAGAAAATCATAAACAATTTTCACAGGCATAAGGCAATATACCGTATTTTTGCCCTATAGGGCGCACCGGCCCATAGGGCGCACCTAGTTTTTTGGGGGGGGAATAAAGGGGGGGAATTATTTTTCCCCCAGGCAGGGGGCTGGGGCGGGGGAAGCCTGAGTCTCCCCCAACCCCAGCCCCCAGAACAGGCTGCTTTCCGCAAGCCTTGGGAGCCCGGCGGAAACTCCCGCTGGGCTCCCAAGGCTTGCGGAGAGCTGCCCGAAGTCCGGGGTGTGCTCTGCTGCGCTCCCCGGGTTTCGGGCTGCAGGCTGCTGTCCACAAGCCTTGGGATAGCTTCCTGAAGCCTGGAGAGCGAGAGGGGTCGGTGCGCACAGACCCCCCTCGCTCTCCAGGCTTCAGCGAAAGCCTGCATTCGCCCCATAGGACGCACACACATTTCCCCTTCATTTCTGGAGGGGAAAAAGTGCGTCCTATAGGGCGAAAAATACGGTAATTTTGGGAGTTGAAAGACAAACTTTAACTGACCCATCTCTGAGCCAACTCAGTTTTTCCATTCCACTTCACTAAAAAGTTGTGTGCACATATTGCTCAATCAGAGCCATCTAAATTAACCACCACAGCAGGCCAACTTTTGTTATCTAGAAACAAATCCCATTTGCCTAATTCAGCTTAGTACCAAAATCTGCCACAGTTGTTCATGGATAGGTAAACTTATTAGTCGCAATGGCTTGTCAGAAAACTAACCATCATTCTCATCTTAAATAATCAAATTAATAGCAAGGCTATGCTTAGGTCCTCATGCCCAGCCCTCCTTTGAAAGAGTGTGCATAGCAACTCACTGTTCAGTGGGAGCTGCTTCATTGGGGCTAACAGACTTCCTAAAAATGAGTTCTTCATGGTTTAATGAGTCCCATCTTCACCTACTGCCCAGCTCTACAATCACAAGGTCTGGGTTAATCACTTACAGTACCACTGCTTCAGCAAACTCAATTTCCTTCACGTTGTCTTCATTAATCTCATAGATATACCCTTCCACAACCTGTTAGTTCCAGTCTATAAGGTATAAATACCCCATCTGTTGAGCTAATCATAAATTTTGAAATTCCAAGGGCAAAAGCATTATTAGTGAAAGGGCAAAAGCTCTCTTATTCTTGCTGCCTACAAAAAGGGAAAATTCCAAGCTTAGATTGGGAAATACCTTGAAGGAGAGAGGTCTTATTGTTTATAGAGTTCTTCTACACTCCCCCTTTGATTGGCAATGATTACTGCACTCAATATCTATAGCAGCTTCCTGTCTTTCGCAATTATCTCCTATCTATCTCGTAGTCTCTCATAATTCCTGACACTGTAGTCCTATTTGAGCACTGCAGCACCCTGTGTCTCTCCGGATTGAAACAACAAGTGAGTGGCCTGCTACCAGAGAATTGACCTGTAATATGAGTTTCAAAAGCCTCATCTATTGCACAAAACAAAAGAAGCCTACCTCTGGCTGAGAGCTTCTTGGTGTTGATAATCTTTGCCGCATATTCGTGTCCAGTGCAGAGTTTGACACAGCGCCGCACAACTGAGAAAGCCCCCCTAAAAATGTGCATTAGAAAAAAGGAGAAAACAGAGATTAATGGCTGCAGCTTGGAAGAATCCGATTCACAGCAGTACCTCGTTTTTTTAAAGACAGTTTTGCAACATTTTTTAACATTTCAACATACAGAGATTTCCCTTTTAGCCCATCCCATCATTGCATTCTTATTCCAGATGAGAGCAAAGGAGAGAGAAAATAAAATAAATTGCCCCTTGTTGAATTCATTCAATGAGAATGTCCTAAAATTAAAGAGTTGGAAAGCATCTCAAAGGTCATCCAGTCCAACTCCCTGATGATGCAGAAGACCAACTACCGCAGCATCTGTGAAAAGAGGCCACCCAGTCTCTTAAAAGCCTGTGATGAATGAGAATTTTAAAAGGTCTAAAAGGGCTCCAAAGATTTCAGGAAGAAGACCTATTTTCCTGTTGAATGTTATTTGCCGCTTGATCCAGGGATAGCTGGACTGCTCAATTGGTTAAGAGTGTGGTTTGACAACACCAAGGCTGCAGGTTCGGTTCCTGACAGCTGCATATTCCTGCACTGTAGGAGGTTGGACTAGATGATCCTCAGGGTTCCTTCTCAGCTGAAAGGAAAACCACCTTGGAGGGGAAGTGGCAGGGGAGAATGCAGTGAACTACACGAATCATCCCTCCTTTCTCAACACAAAAACGGCTTTGCGGTTTTCTACAATCAAATGGTATATTACTTTAAATAAATAAATATTAGCAACTCTGACATGTAGTGCTATATGTTAGTTTAAGGGACTTCTGCTGTTGGGATTAGAAATATATTCATTAATCATATTTTATCTCATCCTTCCTCCAGAGCAGCACAAAAAGAGTGACAGAAGCAGCTTCAGGACTTAATAATAATAATAATAATAATAATAATAATAATAATAAATAATTTATTATTTATACCCCAGCCATCTGGCTGAGTTTCCCCAGCCACTCTGGGCGGCTCCCAATCAAGTGTTAAAAACAGTACAGCGTTAAATATTAAAAACTTCCCTGAATAGGTATTTGAGCCCTAATCAAAAACTTTAGCCACCATACCAAGCTGTCTTTTATCTGAGAATTCTTTTAACACAATTTTTAGCACTTAAGATTTTGCATTTTTTTTTTTTAAAGAAGTGCTCTTACTTTAATGTTCCTAAGAACTGTAAGGCTAATAAAGGCTGTATAAACATCTGTCGTGAGTAGTCAGGCTAATTAATCCTACTCTAGTGTAGGATAATGAGTTGAGCTACAAGACTATAATTCTCAGTTCACCACCGTGGTACCCACAACCTCAGCAAAGACTGACCTCAGATGCTCTGCTGTCAACAACTCCAAACAGCTGTCTATTACTCATTCCCTAATTCCAACCAGTAGTGAAGTTGCTGGGCCATAGCTATGCGGACGTCACAGTTAAGGTCAGAAGCTAGAGGGCATATTTGATGGATATTTGTTGGTACAAATTGTGCTCTGCTCTCTGCATGACAGTGGGACTCTTAAGAAAGCATAAGAATTGCCTTGCCTGAATCAGACCATGTAGACCAGTACTGGGTTTTTAAAAGCGGCCAGCCTGATTTTCGTGGGAAGTCTCAGATATACAGTATGGGGTTATATCCAATGCTGCTCCTACTCAGAGTATTCCCACTGAAGTTAATAGACATCACTAACTGAAGCTCATTAAAAATGTCAACTATTCCAGAAAGAATGGATTGGCTAAAACAGCTCTATGCTCTGAATCGTAATGAAGTTTTAGCTCATCCCAGTATAAACAGTGAGAAGGATAATGCAGTACAAATGAGGAATAATTGCATTGCATGCTAACATTGCAGAGATAAATTAGTTGCTACAGAAACAGGTTTAGTACAAACCTGAGCATCCTTACTCAGAATTAAGTCCTTCTTGTTTAATGGGATTTACTTATTTGAAACTCTACATAGGATTTGCAAATGAACCTATATTCAATCAACAACAACAACAACAAATCCTATCTTTTGAAAGCGAGGTACTCAGTTTATATCATTGGTTCGCCAGAAGCTGCTTAGTCATGCTGGCCACATAACCCGGAAGCTGTAGGCTGGCTCCCTTGGCCAATAAAGCGAGATGAGCGCCGCAATCCCAGAGTCGGTCACGACTGGACCTAATGGTCAGGGACCCCTTTACCCTTTACCTTTAAGAGGCTGGTGACCAACCAGGACCCAAGAGGTTACAATCTGTTTGGAAAGATTCATTTGGAAAGATTCAGTCTTCAGCAGAAGACCAAGGAACGCATTTTAGTTTATGAAAGATATACGCATAATATTGTCAAAGAGAAATCAAAAGTGCATTATATATAAATACATCTTGGGGGACGAAAAATCCAATAAACAATGAAGTGGCTATTATGTGCAAAGATTACAATATGCAATATTAAAATTAACTACAATTTAACTACTGCCGAATCCTACATTGGCTCACCAACAACAAACCCGCCTTAGTTAAAGATTACTACATGGTCCCAGCTGTCCTAATTTCATGGCCTTTTAGTTTTAAAAAAGAACATAGCTACCAACCCAGAGTGAAATTCCAGAAAACAGGATCCTGCAGTCTTAGATCCATGTTATTAGAGATCAATCCAGTTTCCAGTATACAGGGTGCCGGGAAACCCAAACAGAAGATTAACCCAGGTAAAAATTAAAGAAAAATGTTTTTAAAATAAAATAGTGAAATCTGAACAAAATAAACTATTAAAAAATTGAATACAAAGTTGTCCATAGAACAAAGGTCAGGAAACACCTAACTATGTTTAATAATCACAAGGAAGAATTCTGATAAGGGAGAAATAAAATATCCTCAAGCAAATAACAAAAATCAATCAGAGTTGTACAAAAAGTGCATGGAAAATTCAGCACAGAGAAGCCTAAAGCAAAGTAAAAATATTAAAAGCGGTAAGAATGGACTCTGACATCGATAGTTTTGAATGTGTGTGTTCCAGAGAAGAGTTCAGTTACGTTACAAAAAGGTATCAGAAAAAAACTTCTTGGGTGAAACAGAGATGAAGCTGAGTTCCAATATCTAAAAAAACTACAAAAAAACTTTAAAATTCCTACTTGCTGATTGATTGCTTCATTCTCCCTTTGTTCTCAACTAAAAGAAATTCTGTATTGGAAAATGGCAAGTCAGGAGGCAAACACCTGAAAAAGCAAGGTGCCATTATTTTGCAGTTGACATGATCCTGAGCAGGGGCAGGCAACCTAAGGCCCATGGGCCGGATGCGGCCCAGTCGCCTTCTCAATCCTGCCCGCGGACGGTCTGGGAATCAGCGTTGTTTTTACATGAGTAGAAAGTGTGCTTTTATTTAAAATGCATCTTTGGGTTATTTGTGGGGCACAGGAATTCGTTCATTATTTTTTTCAAAATATAGTCCTGCCCACCACATGGTCTGAGGGACGGTGGACCAGCCCACGGCTGAAAAAGGTTGCTGACCCCTGATCCTGAGTCTTATCAGGATACAGGGAAACTCCTGAAGGTCACTCAGTGCTGAGAACAGCATTGAGTTACAAATCTTGTATCTTCTTCACACTGGTTGACTAAGGCCTTGTTAGCATTTCTGCTTTTCACACTCCAGAAAGACATTAAGGTCTACTTCAGTCATGAGCCATAGCTTGTTGACCGTTCTACTCCACAGCTTCAAGTAGGATCATCTTCATCATGTATACAAATTTGCCCCCCTCCACTGAGCTCAGAACAACCTTCCTCATTAAATAACTGCTACAGACTTTTCAACAGCTGCTCAGAAACATGTATACAGTACACATAAGTATATATGCTCACACTCATTCAAGGTTTCATAGTAAGGTTTAAAAAAAGGTAAAAGACCCCTGGACGGTTACGTCCAGGCAAAGGCGACTATGGAGTTGCAGCGCTCATTTCACTTTCAGGCCGAGGGAGCCGGTGTTTGTCCATAAACAGCTTTCCAGGTCATGTGGCCAGCATGACTAAACCACTTCTGGTGCAATGGAACACCATGACGGAAGCACACGGAAACGCCGTTTACCTTCCCGTCACAGCGATACCTATCTATCTACTTGCACTGGTGTGCTTTTGAACTGCTAGATTGGCAGAAGCTGGGACAGAGCAACAGGAGCTCACTCCATCGTGCGGATTTGAACCGCCGACCTTCTGATCAGCAACTCCAGAGGCTCAATGGTTTAGACCACAGCGCCACCCACATCCCTGGGTTTCAAAGTACTGTAATCCAGAGAGCGCTCCAACTGGAGAACAGCCTTTGCCAAAGGTGCCATGGACTTTGAAGACTCAGAACGAAAGGGAGAAACATGCTAAGAGGAAGCCATGTTTGGCAAACCCTCACCCTGATCAACTCCCACCCAGAAACCTATGTCCCCACTGTGGAAGGATGTGTGGATCCAGAAATGGCTTCCACAGTCACCTATGGACACACCGTTAAGACCGTGTTCATGGAAGACAATCTTACTTGGCTATGAGTGGTCGCCAAAGAAAAAGAATCCAAAGAGAAAGTTATTTGAATGAATATATGAAGAGAACAAAATAAACCAAAAATTAATTTGAGTCAAAAGCACCTTCAAATATTAAAACCATGTATAAATGTCAATTCTACAGAGCTACTTTTCATGAGGGAGAGCTCCATATCCTGGGATATCGGCAAGGCTTTTGAATTACTGGTGCACTGGAACTCAAGCTCTCACCTATGGAGTGAGTGTTGGTGGATCTAAAACTACTTAAGTTGACCTACTGAAGCATGATTCAGCATTTTTAAACTATTGACCACCTGGAGAGCCTTTGCACAAACGTAACCAGCTACCAGAATTATGCAGCTTTACCACAGCGATCTCTCTTGTGGTTGAAGCAATGCAACCTGGGCTGTGTACAGATAGATTTGTTCTGGGGAACAGCAGCACCAGTTTTCCTCTTATCGCTATCACTAGTCACAATCCTGTATCAATAGCTGCATGAAGATACAAGTGTAATAGTAAGGGCCAGGGGGA